AAGGTGAGCTCTGGGCCAGAGTGCCATTTTGTGTGGGCCCAGCTAGTGAGCTGAGTGTCTTGTGGTTTTTCAGCTAGTGAGCTGCTCTTTCCTTTTGACTTTATGCTTTATTGACCAACGCCTGAGTTTTGTTTGTGTTTCTTAATGGTGATAGCGGCTTGTCTGTCTCTTTTAGTTAAATTACTTCAATAAAACTGTTTTATTTAACTGTTTCGCCTCCTTGACTCCTTTTTCTGACCCGGTCACTTTTGTTACTTCCCCCTCCCCGCCTAGACCCCTCAAAGGAATGTAACAGTGTACTTCAAGAACAGTTTCCTATCTCAAATCTCTGTTTTCTCTGTTATTTTTTTTTTACTTATTATGCACAAGTCTACTGTTGTTTACAGCGCTGTCAGCCGCAAAATTGCAAAACACTTGGCTGTGTCTCTGATAAAACCCCTGTAACTTTGCTCATGGTTTTCTTCACTTTTTGTTCTACTGCAGAATATTTTTAAGGTTATCTGCTATGAAAAGCTTATAGCTCAGTAAGTCAGTTACTTTGACACAAAGGCATCTGGTGTGATGCTCACACCTCTGATGAAGTCTCACAAGTGTGAACTTTCTTTTTACTGATATAAAAATATTGATATGTACTGACAAATGATCAGAATTCTAGTATTTCTGACTGTCTGAGGCAAAATTCCTCAGATTCAAATCAAATTGAATCGAACTGAATAGGGGATCGAATCGATTACAGAAATCAGAGAATACCAAGCCCTAGATGACCGCCAATACATATGTCCATGTTTATCTCTGTATTCTCATATTCTTAACACTGACCTTTGATTCCAGTGTAAGGATCGTCTGCCTCAGCTTCCCAATCATTTCATCCTTCTCCCTCTCAGATTTGATCATCTTTCAGAAACAAAGACAGATGTTGATGTTTCTGCAGCGCTTTGTTGATAAAAGTGTCAAAATCATTGAAACTTCACACTGTGAGCAACATGTTTCCAACCACTGTGCTTCAGCGTTAATACATAAAATTAATGTAACATATACACACCAACATACATATATCCCATTCAAAGTCTTTACAGCTGATTAATCTTTTTCACAGGAGTGTCTCTTCTCTTTTCCATCAGCTGCACCATCATGTAAAGCAAATAAAACATGCACATAACTTCTGCAGAATGTTGCAGACAGCAGGCTGATGCAGAGTAATTCAACAAAATAAAAGAACAAACTGCATAATTTAACTTTGCAGGAAATATGATATCATCAGCAAGTGGTGATATTTCTATGAATTATCTGTGCTCCCTTGATCCTTTTCTCTCTTTATTCTCTCTGTACATATGCTCAAAAAGAGCAGTGCTCTTTGGATCATTAAAAAGCAGGAACAGATTTGATTCTTTAGAACCCAGCCCCAGAGAAGATAAGATTCTCCACCAGTGATGAAAAATTGTCTAGCAGATGCAGAACATGCTGGACATGTTCAAATTTGATTTATGTGACAGTGACAGAAAGCTGAGTATCAAATGATGAAATGAACCTCCTGTTTTACGGAGTCCAATTTATTGCTCATGGTGTTTATTTCACTCTCCAAGTTCTGTTTCTTCCTTTTAAGCTCACTGATCCTATCAGAAAGCTGCAATTGAGAAGGTACAAGAAGAGAGATGAGATTGAAGACATGTTTTGTGTTTTTTACGTGAGTGATTGAATAATGCAATAACATTCAGTTTTATTCAGAAGTTGACAAACTATATATTAAATTAAGAACCTATATTTTTCTATTTCTCTACAGCACTTTGGTCAATGTTGCTGTGATAATTAAATGTGCTATATAAATAAATAAATGATAAACAATATTAAAAAAGGAAAACTGACGAAACAACTGTATTTGCATTTCATTAGAAATTCATAATTAATTAAGCTTTTTAAATAAATCAAAATGAATTTGCAAGATAAAATAAATTATCATTTTGTTCAATCTATAGAAATGGTTAGTTTTACAGAAATTTGTTATCAAGTGAACATTAATTTCCAAAGTTTCCTCCATAACTGTTTACAATACAACAGAGTTGAGTCAGTAAATTCTGAATGTTTACAATGGAAAGACAAAAACTCCTGATTTTTGGACTCCAGCTGCTTCTACAGCTTCTCTACTGTTTTTTTCTCCTTTTGGAGCTGATCGATGATTTCAGTATGTGAAATGTTACATGAAGAAAGACCAAAGCTGTAAAAGCTGTAAAAAAACAATTATATACATGCATAAACATTGCCTTAATGTTATAGTAATGGTTGTAGTATTAAATGTAAAAAGATTAAACAAAGAAAAAAAAA